CAAGACTATGGTTGCAGAGAATGACAGCACCAAAAAGAGAAGTAAAAGAGATAAGAAAAAGGACATACAAAAAATGCCTCAAGAAATACCTGTTTCAGATTAAGAGACAACCTGGAAAAAGTAGAGCAATGGAAGCCAAAGGAATTTCAAGAAAAAAAGCACTTGGGCAATAGCATCATGTATTCAGACATGTCAAGGAAGATGAGGATGGATGAGCAAACCTAAGGAATGGAAAGCAGATTGCAAGTGGATGAGAAGTGAACAGAAAGTCAACAAGCGGAGGCTACTAGTTAGCATAGACTTTTTTTTTCAAGATACATGGCAATAAAGAGAAAGTAATCAAATGGTAGCTGGGGCAGGGGACAGGGTAGGGGAGAAAGTAGTAAAATTTGTCTATAGGCTGAGCTTGTAGAAAGGGGCAAATTAAAAATGCAAGTAGTCGGGTTCGGTGGCTCAGCCTGTAATCCTGCACCTTTGGGAGGCTGAGGTGAGTGGATTGCCTGATCCCGCGGGTTCGAGACCTCATCTCTACAAAAAAATTTAAAAATCAACCGGGCATGGTAGTGCGCGCCTGTAGTTCCAGTTACTTGGAAGGCTGAGGCGGAAGGATCGCTGGAGCCCAGCAGGTCAAGGCTGTGGTGGCCGGGAGCGGCCACTGCACTCCAGTCTGGGCGACAGAGTGAGACTCCAACTCAAAAAAAAATGCAAGTAGGCTGGGCATGGTGGCTCACGCCTATAATCTCAGCACTTTGGGAGGCTGAGGTGAGAGGATCACCTGAGCCCAGGGATTCAACAGAGCCTGGGCAACTTGGTGAGACCTTGTCTCTACAATAAATAAAAAAATTAGCCAGGCATGGTGGCGCGCACCTGTAGTCCTAGCTACCCGGAAAGTTGAGGTGGAAGGATCACCCAGCGGGTCCAGGCTGCAGTGGCTGAGTATGCCACTGCACTCCAGCCTGGGCAACAACAGACTGAGACTCTGACTTAAACAGCAAAAAAATGTATATAAATACATATACCTACCAAAACAAGACTGGCCATAGGGGAGACAAGGAGACCAAGACAGGACTGCGTGTGGAAGTGTTGCCCTCAGAAAAACAAGGTACCCTCTTACTAAAAATGTGTCGACACTTCAAAATGGAAGAAAGATTCTCAAAGAAAATTAATAGGTGAAACTGCTGAAAATATGAGGTAGAAATTGAGTGTAGCTGTGTGGTTATAGGCAAATGGTTAGGAAGTTAACTAGATATGAATAAAAAGATTGTCTCTGAGGGTCTAGACAAAGTTGGAAGGCATATATTTACACAAAACTATGGAGGATTGTCATTACTTTCTCTAGCAATACTCAGAAGCCTGAAGAAAGAAAGTAAACAGAAGCCACAACTGGTGAACTGATGGACAGATTAGATCAGGATCTTGGAAGATTCTAGAAAGAGCACAGTTTAAATATCTGGAAGGGGATGAGACTGGTTTGTAAAGTGAAGTCAAAAGTTGTTGGGTTTGGCAAGCCTCTCGGGTCCCCTCCTGCTGTGGGAGCTTTTCTATCCTCTCAATAAATCCCGCTTTCTGGAGGAAAAAAAAAAAAAAAGTTATTGGGCTGAAAAAGTTATGGGCTGATGTTGATAGAGAGCAGATTCAAAAGTGGAGGAGTGGGAGTAGCAGAGGATAGGCATTGCAAAAGGTTATAAATGCATTGCAAAAAAGTTACAAGTAAAAGTGTTTTTAAAAATATAACTGTGTGTATATACTTATACATATTTGTAGATACACACACAACGTCAAATCAATAAGTTAAAGATGAAGAGCTGAATCAAAAGGGAAAAGGAGGAGGCAGGGTTCTCGCTCACACCTGTAATCCCAGCACTTTAGGAGACTGAGGGCAAAGGATTGCTTGAGCCCAGGAGTTTGAGACCAGCCTGGGCAACATAGCGAAACCTCATCTCTATAAAATTAAAATTAAAATTAAAAAATTAGCTGGGTGTGGTGGCACGTCCTGTAGTCCCAACTACTCGGAATGCTGAGGTAGAAGGGTCGCCTTGAGTTCAGGAGGTTGAGGCTACGGTGAGCCATGATTGTTATCATGACACTGCACTCCAGCCTGGGTGAAGAGTAAGACCTCAACTCAAAAAAAAAAAAAAAAAAAAAAACAGGCTTGGTGGCTCAGCCTGTAATACTGCACCTTGGGAGGCTGAGGTGAGTGGATTGCCTGAGCCCGCTGGTTCGAGACCCGCCTGGGCAACTTGGCGAGACCTCATCTCTACAATAAATCAAAAATAAGCTGGGCGTGGTAGCGCGTGCCTGTAGTTCCAGCTACTTGGAAGGCTGAGGCGGAAGGATCGCCGGAGCCCAGCAGGTCGAGGCTGAGGTGGCCGGGAGCAGCCACCGCACTCCAGTCTGGGCGACAGAGTGAGACTCCAACTCAAAAAAAAAAAAAAAAAAAAAAGAATGAAGTAGACTTATATATATTAAAATGGAAAGACGCCCGAGATATATATATATATATTTTTTAATCTGACAATACTGAAAATGTATTTAAATGATGCCCTGATTCTGATAAATAAAAAGTGTACACTATACTTTTACAAATTCACATATATTGTCAATAGTATGGGAAGCTATATTGTTAAATGAAAAGCATATGACTGTATATTACACTTATAATTATAAAGAAGCAAAAAATTAAAACAATTTTGTTTTAACATCCATTATTAAATGAATGGTAACTACTATAACGAGCCCCAAAACCTAGTTTTGTTTCAGATTTTAGTTTTCCCTATCCTAGATAGAAAGAGAGATTATCTTTATCTTATCTCAGCTCCTCTACACAGTTTGAGATGGTATGGTTAAGGGCAAGAAAAATGTGGAAACTACAAATATTTTGTAATTGCTATTATTTAGGAAAATAAAAGTCTGAGGACTAGGACCATACCTTGTTTTCCATTCTGTCCCCAGCACCCAGCACAATGATTGACACAGTAAGCATTCAGTAAATATTTATTAAGCATCGCACATTTTTCATGAGAGTTACTTTTTTTTGGAGTCCAAGTCTCACTCTGTTGCATAGGCTGGAGTGCAGTGGCATGCTCATGGCCACCACAGCCCTGACCTGCTGGGTTCAAGTGATCCTGCCTCAACCTTCCAGATACCTGCAACTACAGGCATGCACCACTACACCCAGCTAATTTTTTTGATTTATTGTAGAGACGAGCTCTCATTAAGTTGCCCAGGCTGATCTTGAACCCCTGTGCTCAGGCAATACTCTCACCTCAGCCTCCCAAAGTGCTGGGATTACAGGCATGAGCCACCATGCCTGGCTGAGAGTTACTTTTTGAGATAGAATAATATTTTGAAAATGTACCTACTTGGAAAAAAAGAAATATTGAATAGATAATATGTACATGATACAATATAGATCACACAATCTGTCACCCTGAAGCCCTGGAGAGATTTCCTCCAGAAATAGTCTTTATATTTACATATAAGCATACATCCAGGCCAGGCTCGGTGGCTCAACCTGTAATCCCAGCACTTTGGGAGGCCGAGGTGAGTGGATTGCCTGAGCCCGGGTTCGAGACCTGCCTGGGCAACTTGGCGAGACCTCATCTCCACTATAAATCAAAAATAGCCCGGCGTGGTAGCGCGCACCTGTAGTTTCATCTACTTGGAAGGCTGAGGCCGGAAGGATCACCGGAGCCCAGCAGGTCGAGGCTGCGGTGGCCGGGAGCAGCCATTGCACTCCAGTCTGGGTGACAGAGTGAGACTCCAACTCAAAAAAAAAAAAAAATAAGCATACATCCATACATATAGTTGTCCTATAGAAATGCTTTTAGTGAACCAAATAAAACCTTTGCAGAAATAGTAAATTTTGCATTGGAGGTGTTTATGAACATGTATATTAACTAATGCTAAGTGAAATTTCTTTGACTTTTCTGATTCAAACGTCTCAAATACATTTTTTTTTTTTTTGGAGTTTGGCCATGTTCACGGCCACCGCAGCCTTGACCTGCTGGGCTCAGGCAATCCTTCCATCTCAGCCTTCCAAGTAGCTGCAACTACAGGCATGTGCCACTACGCCCAGCTAATTTTTTTGTTTGATTGATTGTTTGTAGAGATGAGGGCTCATCAAGTTACCTGGGTTGGCCTCGAACCTACGGAATAAGGCAATCCACTCAGCTCGGCCTCCCAAAGTGCTGGGATTATAGGCTGAGCCACCAAGCCTGGCCAGAAGGAAAATAGTTTAAATCTTCACTGATCCTGTTGACAAGTAGTTTTCAAATCTGAGCACACAACACAATCACCTAGAGGAGCTGATTAAAACACAGATGCTGCAGGGTGTGATGGTGGCGCTTGTAGTCCCAGCAGGAGGCAGGAGGATCACTCAAGCCCAGGAGTTTGAGCCCATAAAGCACCATGATTGTGCTTATGAATAGCCACTGCACTCCAACCTGGACAACATAACAAGACCCCATCGCTTAGAAAACACACACACTTTATTTGTGAGAATCTTGTATAAACACACATACAAAAGACAAAACACACACACACACACACACACACACACACACACACACAGATGCTAACACTCCCAAAGTTTTTTATTCATTAAGGCTATTAGGGTTCAAGAATTTGCATTTCTAACAAGTTCCCAGGTAATGTTGCTAATTCAGAAACCCACTGCATAAACCAAAAAGCTGGCTACTGAGCCATCCTCTACCACTCATGTGATCCTACTTAGAAGTTATTGCCTGAGCTACTAACCGTGGCTGCAATAACCCAGGCAGAGTTATGGAAATATTCCTCTACTGATCTAGGCTCCAATTTAATCTAGTGGGATCATTTTCTCACTCACTATGGGAGTGTCTGAAACTTGATCCTGTTTTCGCTGAATTATTCATGAAGCTTCTGATTCAGTGTGGGAGTGGGGAAGGAAGAGCTCACTACCATCTCCTTTTGTAAGAGGGGGTTGATAAAAAAAGGAGAGACTGCCAAGAGATATGCTTGAGTAGGAGGAGACTGCCCTGGCAACTTCTAAACTAGCCTCGGATATCACGCTCTTAAAGGTAAATAACTATCCATGTTGCCTTTCTGGTGGAGTTTTCACCAGGAAAAGTTCCAACAATTCTTCTGAGTTTAATAGCGCCTTCCTATGAGCTTGGGAAATGGTAGGAAAATAACTGAGGAAAGTAAAGAACATTTTAATTTATTTTGTTTAAAAAAATTATTTTGTAGAGATGAGGTCTTGCAATGTTGCCCAGGCTAGTCTCCGACTCCTGGGCTTGAGCAAACCTCCCACCTCGGTCTAAAACTTTTTTTTTGTTGTTAGAACTTTTTCAGAAAAGTGAAACTTTCAACTCTGATTAGTCCTATTAGCCAAGGCATGTCTTTGATTTTAGGGATTATATAAAGAAGTTAAATTATTGTATTTCTTCACCTTCACCCTTCTCTTCTTTTTTCAGACTAAATTTATGGCCAGGAGAGAAAAGTAGGTCTTTTTAGTATTTGAGGTTTATTTGTTTGTTTGTTTGTTTGTTTCAAGAATGGTAGGGCACTGCAAGTGGAAAGAGATTTGGGAAAAGAACACAAAAGGAAAAGGCAATTGATCTTTCTGGAAGTGAAAAAGAACTGATTTTCCTTAAGACCTGCAACTGCTGTTATTCTTATTCTGTTTCTCACTTCAGCAGGACCAACATCTGGTTGAAGCAAGAAACTTCAAAAAATTCTAGGACAGGTCTTCTCTTTGGAAAACAGGTTTTGGATCTAACATTTTTGATAGTCTATTTGTCAAGAAAACTATTTTGCCTAAGAGGTCTCAAAGAAAGGAAATCGAATATCCAAGGCTCCAATAATAGTGACTTTTTTCCCATTGTGAAAATTTTTTACTTAATTTTTATATTTAAAATATGTTATTCTTTTCTTTCTTTCTTTCTTTTTTTTGAGTTAGAGTCTCACTCTGTTGCCCAGACTGGAGTGCAGTGGCCGCTCCCGGCCACTGCAGCCTTGACCTGCTGGGCTCTGGCGATCCTTCCACCTCAGCCTTCCGAGTAGCTGGAACTACAGGCGTGCACTACCATGCCCAGCTAATTTTTGATTTTTTTTTTTTTTTTTTTGAGTTGGAGTTTCATTCTGTAACCCAGACTGGAGTGCAGTGGCACGCTCCCGGCCACCGCAGCCTCCACCTTCTGGGCTCCGGCGATCCTTCCGCCTCAGCCTCCAGGTAGCTAGAACTACAGGCGCGTGCTACCATGCCCGGCTAGTTTTTGATTTATTGTAGAGACGAGGTCTCGCCAAGTTGCCTAGACGGGTCTTGAACCCACGGGCTCAGGCAATCCACTCGCCTCGGCCTCCCAAAGTGCTGGGATTACAGACTGAGCCACCGAGCCCGGCCTTTTCTCTACTTTTATATCTGAGATTTTAAAGCGCTTAAGCTGTTCTACACAACTCAAATTAAAACCACTTGTTTTTCAGAGTCAAATATTCAAGAACTGTTTTCAAAATTGAATGAAACTGTTAAGAATTCAGACAAAAATGTACGTACCAGGGCCCTTTGGGTGATGTCTAAGCAGACATTTCCTACTGAAGTTGTTGCCAAAGTGGTGAGTATGATATTGTGTATGTCTTCTTAACAATATACCAGTAAAAACAAGAGTTATTTTATTTATGTTTATTTGGTCTGTCTTTTAGGTATCCAGTATAATTGATTCATTAGAAATACTATTTAATAAAGGAGAGACTCATTCTGCTGTTGTTGATTTTGAAGCATTAAATGTTATCATAAGGTATGCATTTGAATGCTATGCGCATTGGAAGACTTTCATTAAATTTAGTTCAAGGAGTGTACTTTTGGGATTTAATATGAAATAGACTCTAAAAGAAGAGAATGTTTATTATATTAAAAGACTCAAGGAAAAAAGGTAACAGAAAGAAGGTAGAAGTAGGTATGCATAAGTTATAATGTTTCCTGGGACTGAATTTATTGGTTTTTTTCCTCAAAGAGACAGGGTCTTGCTATGTTGCCTAGGTTGGTTTTGAACTCCTGGCCACAAATGATCCTTCTGCCGTGACCTCACAAAGTGCTAGGATTATAGGCATGAGCTACCACATCCAGCCCTTGGGAAAGACTTGTTTTTTTTTTTGAGTTGGAGTCTCACTCTGTCACCCAGGCTGGAAGCCAGTGGCATGCTA